CATAGGGGATCATAATTATGTTCTTAACACCCTCTTGGTAAGCTTGGTATTGGTTTGCCATAAGCACTCTCTGTTTCAACAGGTAATATTAGTTATTAAAACAGAAATTTTTTCTGTCACTAACAATAGGCTTTACATATATGTAGCATTTGTATATTAAACCCTTCCTTGAGCAGCAAGAAATTTGCTAATGTAATAGCTTTGAAATAAGGTGCTTGATGGGTATAAAGACATGACATCGATTTTATAAAAACAATATGATTTTCGTGGTAAGCACCCAATAACATTGACAATTATAAGAGCTGGACAGAAAGTAAGTGGACTAAAACCTGGACTCCACATTACCTGAAAACAGAAACTCAGAAACAGAACTGAAACATATAGAGTTTTTGTTTCAGTTATGTTTTCATTTTAACTTGACTCCACTAGAAATGGGTCATCTGTTGATCAGTTCTGTAATTGTTGTAGAATCAAACATGGATGACGCTTTGGATTTTGCCATGCTCTCTCTGCATTTATTAACAATGAAATTGTTAATAATCTTTGAATTATTTACATTTTTTGTCGTACAGACATCTGTATTTTCTAACTTCTTCAGTGAAGAATTCCAAATCTATTTGTTTCCTCATCATTTTCACTACACTTTCCGCAATTACAACAATTAAACTACACATGACTAATGCACGTGACTATGCATCACAAATCCTTGTGTTTTTATTGGTTGCAGTACAACAGAAGCGCGGAATGAAAACAGAAAAGTTAAATAATTTTTAACTCTGCTTTCAGTCTTGTTTCTGTCCAACTGAACGTTACAAAACTGAAAGTTTCGTCAGTTTGGCTTTTAGTTTTACGATTACGTCATGGATTCTGGTAATGTGGAGTCCAGGCTTAAGTTCTTCAACTCATACTTTAATGCTCATATAACAGAACAGTTTTTCAGAACAGCTGTTCTTCATCTAATAACTGTTGTGAGGTAGTAGTAATAGTTATTTGTTGGTACTGATGCCATGATATGCAATTGAATGAATGTTTTTGTAAGCATGGTCCATGAGAGATTTTTCCAGAGGGGGATGCAACATTTTGGCTCATAAATACCCAAACCTGGTGGAGGGATCAAATATTTTTTGGCAAGGACTCTTTATTTGCAATACTCCTCTTTACCCAAAAGCACTCAATTCCACATGCTTGTGGAACATTTGGAGGGTGGTTGTTGTATATGTATTCAACACCTTTACTATCTAAGAAGGCAGTTACAATTTTTGTATAATGCAATGTAGCTAAATCTGGCCAGATGATGATGTCACTCCTAGATTAGTGTTTTTCAGTGAAGGGAAGCAATGATTTTTTCAGACATTCCTCCAGGTAAACCTGAGCAATGATGTTATCTTCACAAACAAAAGTACCTGAAAAGTTCAGATGCATCCATGGCCTGCCAAATGAGGTACTACTTGTAGAATATTTCCTTAGGCTGGATTTTCTCTTTGTAGGCACTATTCTGTGGATTTATAGCATGGTAATATTGCTTTTCTTGGATGTTTCCAGGTCAAATGGGCAATAAGTCTCATTGTCAATAATGAGATGCTTCATCAGACCTTATCATAAACATTTCTGCAGTCTCTTTTTCTTTTTCTACTTGGTTCTTCATATATTTTGGTGCAATTTGCTTCTTATGTCCCTTCTTCCCAACTTTGATATTATGTAAAGTTGTCTTTGGCAATGACAGTTTTGATGATACATTTCTGATGGAAGTTGATGAAACCTGTTGATATAATTTTCTGACTTGATTCACAACTTTCAGAGTTGGTTGAGAGGCAGAAGTGAATTAAAATTAAAAATTTGGTTGATGGTATTTACATCAAAATATAAAATATATAAATATATTGAAGCTGCAAAATGTCTTCATTTTTTGCCAAAATGAATACACAAGTATACTAGAAGGAAAAATAATACTTTTTTCTGCTTGTATACCTGAAGAGGGCCTATGAATAGGCCAAAAATGTTTATCTCATTTCCATCTTCTGTGAATGTTTTTAAGCTTAATTTTAAAATGTCATAAATGCAAAATAAATGTTAATTTGTGACCCAGGAAGTCAAATTCATCTGTATTCAAGAAGATACAAATGCTGCTTATTATAATATTTGGGTTATGAAAATAATAGTACAAAGTTAAATTTGATTCTTTTTATCTTTATTGATAAACACTTTTAATTTTATTTGAGACTGAAATTTTTATTTGAAAATTTTTCATAATTTGAGAGATGTATTTTCTTCTTGCTATTTGAACTTTAAGATAGGTAACTCTATGTATGGCATTTTTACAAGGTTTTGAGTTATTTTAATATAAGCAAAAATGAGATTAAACATTTAATGTATTTAATTGAATTAATGTCCATGTAATATGCACTTGAACAAATTTCAGACTTTGCATGATGATGGCTAAGTTAGCTGAAAATGCTTGTTCATGTGCAAAGCATCTACTGTTCATTAATGGTTTGTTTCTTCAATTTTGAGTTTACCATTATATATATATATATATTAAATAATGGATTTATGACATTATTTCATTATTTGTTCTTGTTTAGTATTAATAGCTATCAAAATATTCATTTTATTGCATTATATAATTAGAAGAAAACACTATTTTACTATTTTATTTGTAAATTTTTCAAATTCATCTAAAACAACCTCTCGCACAACTCCTGGGAAGATAAAATCAATTTTATATTGGCCATTAGCCTGATGAAGACCAAGTATATGGTTGAAAACGTTCGTTTTGTTTAAATTTGTTTATACTGGGATATTAAAAAGGTTTTTTTGTGTTGTTCAAATTCATCTATTTATTTACTTAAAAAAAGTTAGTTTCATATTGTTATTATTTAGTTCAAATAGGTTTTGTTATATTTAATTTTTAGATAGAGACAACCGTATTAAAATAAAAAAATTTTTAATTGTGAAAGTTTATTTTTTGAAAGGAAAATATATATAAAACCAACTATGCATTACATTTTAAATTTAATTTGATATTCAGGAAAGGTTAAAAAGTTTTTAACTGCTGTATTTTCTATATTGTAAATGAAATAACAGGGTATTTTATTCTTGAACTAGTGACCTATGTTTTATTTATAATTTAATACTTTTTATTTTTACTTTATATTACTGTAATATTTTGATTTAAAATATTTATTTTCATAGTTAATGAATGAATTTAAATGTGATGTTTTATTTGGAATGAAAAATTTTATCGTAGTTAAAAATATACTGTATAATAATGATGGCAGATATTTCATAACTTCCTAGAACATCTGACATGCATATCACAAGGACAACTACCTTTTATATGTCCTAAATTCTGTACTTTTTGATCTAGCTGAACAACTTACTAAACCTGCTACCTGCTAGACAAGCTATATATATAATATGTTCAAATAGTAAATACAGGAAATCTCATTTTATTTATAAAATTAAGGAATAAATGTCCTTATAGAAGTCTCTTAGTTTTATAAGTAACAATATTTTAAGGTAAGACATTGTGTTTTAAAATTAGCAATAGAAAAATTTTTATAATTTTAATATTAAAATATAAATAGGTCAGGATGTTTATTCTCGCTACTTCTATATTTATAATGTATTCAGTTTTATTTGTCTAGATTTGTACATCTGTATTTTATTAATATGTTCATTCTTGAATATAATAGATGAAAGACTTTTTAATAAAATAAAATTTAATAAATATATAATAGTTGTAATATCATTTTATTCAAAATTTTATCAAGTTTTTTTAATTATTCAAATTTGATTGAAAAATTATCATTTAAATTTTTTTATATGTTTTACAAAGAATATTATTTTATGCTATCAATTAGAAAATTAATATGTATTTATAATATATGGAGTATTAGCATAATAAATTAAATTTAAAATGTTTGTAAATCATTACATAAGACTATTATATCTGGCTTAAGAAAAAAATCTGTCTTTACTTGTTACATATTTTAATTTAAATAATAATGAATAATTTTATTTAATAACGATAAAATAAAAATTAATGAGTTATGCATATATAAACAAAAACTTTTATCTAATAAATTTATTTGAATCTATAAATATCTATAGATGATCCAAAATAATTACAGTATACAAATTAAAGCAAGGTGCTTCATCACTGAAAAACAAATATGAAATACAGGAAAAATTTTTAGCCATTTTCTAGTTAGATATAAATATTGAATGATTTCTAATGGTGCAAATAGTAAAATTAATTGAAGTGTTAAGAAGCAATATTTTAGATGCCAAGAAATGATGCTTAATCACTAAAAAATAAGTAATAAATTTATTAATAAGATGATGTGATTCAAAAGCATTTTAACTATAGACTGTTGGTAATTTGAAAGATTAACATCCTTCTGCCAAAGAAAATAAAAATATTGAAATTTTTTTTGTTAGTTCATAACTGTTTTTGAGCTTGTATATTTGATTCTAAAAAATTTCTTTACTAGTAGTAATTATCTATATTTGTTATTGAGAGCCAGAATTCAGAAATATTTGGACATCCAATGGAAAAAATAGCTGAAACCCTTTTATCAAGATTTCCTTCTGAATACAAAATAAATTTCTCATATTTATTTTTTATTAGTTTTGAAATATTGTTTTCTTTCTTTTGTTGATTTTTTTTTTTTTGGTATAAATCCTGGGATAGCAGAAATCATCATAAAAAATAACCTTGTAAAAAGAAATGTTTTTATGCGAGATACTAATTTCTATTGTTTAAACAGGTTTTTATGTACAATTCATTTCTCTCTGTAACATCATTAATAGTAATATATTCTAAGTTATAAATCTCTGTATGAAATATGATGATACTTTATCTGGAAAATAATTTTTATCTCTGAATTTCCTATGTATTATTTAGTAGAAGTTTTTACTTCAGAATATCTATTTGATTTTCATTTTAGTTTGTTTAAATATCTTATACATATATTTATCTGTTTTTTCTTAAATAGAGGAAAGGCAAGTTAAAAGGAAGAATAGATCTTAAATCAGTAAGATTTATTGAGTGCCTTAATGATGATGCTCTTGATAGGAAATATGCCTTTCAGGTATGTTTTTATCATTTAAGTCTTACATATTAACATAGTTTGAGTTAAGCTATTGTAAAAATACATACATTCAGTTTATAAAGGTTTATTTATATGAATTGAAAGAACTTTATATGATAAATGTAGGTGAATTGTTTTTATTCATTTTTCATCAGATAACAAGTATATTATAAGTTGTGGCTATAAATATTAATATCACTTGCTTGTTAAGAAACTAGCTGCCAATTTCTCAAGAATATATGTTTTATATTAATTGTAACATATATAATCCAATACATTAGTAATATCAAATGATCTGTTGGATTTTTGTTAGGCTATATTTAGGCTGTATTAAATATTAAGACTTTATTTATTTATAATTATTAAATTTATTATTAATATGTCTTAATTAGGGAATTNTAACAGAACTACCAGTAATGATAAAATAAGTTTCATGTAACTATTTTCATTAAAATGTGAAAATATATTGAATTTTTAAGAGGAGACAAAAGTGTTCCCTCAGCCATTCTAGGAGACTTGAAATTATAAACATTCTAATGATAAAGAAGCAAAGTGTATTAATTTTCAAAGGACATTAAAATGAAAGTATGTAAAAAATGATCTGTACTAAGATAAATTTTTTTTTTTGTGTGATTTGATACATTATTACTTGGTTAATAACAACAGCCCATCAAATTTAAGAATGATAAGATTTAAATATAGTAATTTATTATTATTTTGAAGTTAAAACATTGCATAATATTTAGGTATTTTGAGTACTCAGGTAATGCAAAGTCAGTACTTTGGGATATAAAAACTTTCTCAGTACTAGTATAAAATATTAATAAAATAAATAACATAAAATATTATAAATTCATATAAAAAGTTGTGTAAACTATAACTAACATGTGTTCAGTTTCTTTATATACTCTGGTAGTTCCAGCTTTGACTATGTGACATACATATCTGGGGGGTTGTTTATGGTGCTGCAGCACTCCCATGATACCAAAGCAATCAGTTTTGTTACTTTAAGATAAAAATACAATACAGTTGAAAACATTGGCATGATTAAATTTTTCATTTAAAGTGTTTTATTTACAATAAATATCATATTATTGTAATTTTTATAAAATATGTTTTCTTTAAACAGAGTTTCTATTTCAAAATGTGATTGAAAACAGAATTTTGGAACTTGGACTGATAGGTCTGTAATGAGGGAGGATTATGGCAAGTAAAGAAGATAATGTTATGAAACAGGCATTTATGATAAAGAGATCACAGAATAAAAAGAGATTGGGACCAGTTAATTATAAATCTCGTTGGTTTGTTTTAACATCTAATACTTTATATTATTATGATGGAAATCAAGAGGTAAGATATAATTTATATATTAGTTTGTACTTAAAAATAAATTTTGTTAAAACTGTTAAATTAAACACATTTCATATTTATTTAAAACATACAACATTTTATAAACATAAATAATAATAATATGAAAGTTCTAATGAATAAAACATTACTTAAATATCATTAAATTTGAATTTTATTAAATTTTTGATTGTCAGGTAATAAAGATCATTTAAAAACTTAATATTGTTTTAACTGAGAATGTTAGAAATATTTTTTATAGCAGTAAAAATTTGACCTTGATTCAATAGTTCAGTTAAATAAATCATCATTATTTTATTCTTATCATTGTTTCTTCCTAGTCAGGAAGAAACAAGATAAGAATGGAATAACGGGTGTGTGAAATGATAGTCTGTTGTAAATTTATATATAAATAAAGTTTAGCCATTAGCAAAGGAAAATAAATACTTCATAATTTATGTCCGGTTCTATTTGATCCTTTTTATTTGATTTATTTAAATAAGTTTGTTTATTGTTGATCATGCAAATTCAAATACCACATTTTAACAATTACAGTCTATGTTGTTATATAGGTGTATCTTTGACTTTTATAATATGTAGTGGACTGTAATAAATTAATTAAATTTAACATTACAAAAACATAATTGTTTTCAACAACAAAACAAATTTGATTTTACTTAATTAATTGAAAAAGTTAGTTAAAATATATTATTACTGAAATATATAAAAATTTGAATAATTCAAATTTAAAGAAAACAAGATTTGTTCTAAACAATACATTTTACAAATTAAAGTTTGTTTCAAAAGTTTAGTAATTTTATTTTCTCTGAATTTCAGAATAAAAGTTTAAGTATTTTTATTGCATAAGACATATAAAAATATCTAACTTAAGTTAGAAAATACAGAATAAACAAATATTGTTTAGAGATCAAATAAAATTTGACAATTATACTTGCCTATTAAAAATATTGCCTTGAAAGTTTAGGTAAAACTAAAAGACTATTTAAAATTTAATCATTATGACAGATATATTAAAGATATTTTTGTTGTTTGAAATAAAAAAAATATCAGCAGTTTTTGCTAACAATGGCAAAGCAAAAATGATTTGTGATTTGAAGAAATTGCAAATATGTGGAAGTTAAAATTGAAAGGTCACATAGTTGCAGAGATTGCAAAGGTTAAGATGCATTGTATGTAAAGTTTATAAAATTATTGAATGAGAATAAGATTTCAGCCATAATTGCTATTTGAATATCCAAAGTTAATACAGTAGAGCGTCGTTTATCCGAAGGTCGGTTATCAGAAACGTCGGTTATCTGAAGAATTCCAGTCGACAAATTTAAATTTTCGCCAGTGCTGTGGCGCTGTAATCTTTGGCTATGTCTTTGGCTACTCAAATATTTTACGTTTTTGATACTAAATTAACTTCTGAAGTATAATTTTTTATTGTTTTTATATTTTTCAATATATTTATTTTGTTTGTACAAAATAAAAAAATAATTTTTAACAATACAATAGTCTTCGTTAGGCTTAACATCGACGAAAATTCAA